TTCATATTCATTGTTTTGAACATTAGCACAATCAGACAACATCAGCAACAATGTTACTCTTGATAGTGATCATTAACTATATTTTTTTCTTTGTGAAATATAAAGCATTAAATTATGGCATTTGATTAAGTGTTAGCTAGATTTAAAGTTTGGATTAGCTGAATTAATAGATAAACGCTGATAAACTTCCTCACTCTCATAACTTCAGAACAGACATATTGGTTTCATGGTTGTTGTTATATAATTCATATTAGATACCAAAGAAATCAGAATAATAATTATAAAGGTTAAGTGACTGATGATCAAACTACTTCAACAGCCATAAATAAATTTACCAAGTGGCCTTAATTTTGACAGCAAACACTCTTGTAGCTCAATATTCAAGGCCTTATATTTTTTCACCTCTTCCTCCATGACCTGAACGTTTTCCAATGCTTCATGATATTTTCTTGAGAGAAACTGAATTCTTTTGAGGCTTTCTGTTAATTTGAATTTTGGTACCACCTCATCATCACAGCCATCTGTATTAATTTCATCATCATCCAAGACCTTCTCTTGACATATCAGAGTTTTTTTCCTCTTGTGGGCTTTGCGCTCATGTAAGATGCTGATAAGGTTGGCCTGTGTCCCCTGAGCTACATTTGACCTCTGAGAGGCCTGTAAACAAATATTACTTGTAATGTAATTATTGGATAGTAATACATATTCCAAAGTTCATATATTGCCAGGTCCGTAAATATGTGGACAATGACAAAGTTGCACTTTTAGCTGTCTACCACAAAATATTGGAGTTGTGGAATAAATCTGAGCTCATATTGTCATTTCAGCTTCTATGTAACCCATAGACATTCCTACACCATTCACCCATTCTATATGTAAATACCCTCAAATTAAAGCTGAAAGTCCACAGTTTGAGCTCATATTCATTGTTTAATTATAATGCCAGTATGCAGCAGTAGACAGCTAAAATATCAATAACCTTGTCAGCATCCAAATATTTATGGACCTGACTGTACATAACTGTATATTACATGGCAAAAATGAACATTCACACCAAACCACCCCAAATGACTTTGTTTACATCACAACTACTGATTCATGCAGGAAGTTTTTGGTGAAAAGGTGAAAATGGTGAAATGTTTGGTGAAAATGGTGAAATTCCACTTTAAATTCTTAAATAGGCTCAAGTCTGATTAATGAGGAACCCACTGTTTCTTTCAGGTCCTTTTTATCTGCTTGTGATTTTAGAAGGTGTAAATCCTCTGCATCTTCTGTTGATGAAAAAACTCTTGGCACTCTAATCCTTATTTTCTTTGAGGACATCCACTCTTTAGTATCTATAAAATGCAGAACAGACGCTTTCATTCATTAAATACAATAAAATACAGCCCAGTGAAAAGCACAGTCACAGTTGATGACATCAGCTACAATCGGACCATTCTACCATGCGGGAACGAGGGGACAGATAAATACACCAAACCCTCAGTTTGTCAAGTTAGAGGCAGTCTTCAAATAGACAGCTTGGAGATATAATAGCACATCTGCAGTTCTTTTGGAATGAATCGCACTATAATATAATATTTTTTATTGATTTAAACTTTTACATTCAAAAAATAATATGGATGTAATCAAATACCTAATTTACATTTTGTTATTTCAATTGCGGTTCAACCACATTAAATACAATGCTAAAATCAACTACAAATAGTGCAGCTAATTGGGAATTACGACAAACATCTCTATTTTAAATGTAATACCTTACATTATTTCCTTTTTGAATTTCAATAGCATTTTAGCTGCATTACATTTAACAGTGAAAACAAACAGTGTTTGGTGCAGACAGTGTAAGTGATGATGCACAAACTTTAGATTTTACCTTTGGATCTAATGCAGCTGATTTTAATGTTGTAAGTAATGCAGTTAAAATCCTTCTGAAATTCAAGATGGAAAAAATTGTGCAACAAAATATGTAAAAATGAATATAAAGTAGTTTTTGCATTACATCCAAAATCCAAAGAGTGTACATCATTGCTGACACCTAACTGCACCATGCACATTTGTTTTTAGTGTTGTATGTAAGACGCCTGAAATATTATTGGAGTCCAAAATAAATAAAAATGAATATAAAGACGTTATTGCATTGCATCCAAAATCCAAACGTTGTGTATGACTGCTGATACGTAACTCACTGTGCACATTTGTTTTTAGGGTTGTATGTAAGATGACTGAAATATTACTGAAATTCAAAATTGTATATAAAGTAGTTATTGCATTGCATCCAAAATCCAAACGGTGTGTACGATTGCTGACACTTCACTGCACCATACACAATTCTTTTAGTGTTGTATGTAATGTGGCTGGAATATCATTGAAATTCAAAATATATAAAAAATAATATAAATGAGATATTGCATTACATCCCAAATCCAAAGGTTGTGCATCATTGTGGACACTTTGCTGCACCATACACAGTTCTTTTTAGTGTTCTACGTTATGTGGCTGACATATTTTTGAAATTCAAGATACATAAAAATGAATATTATGTAGTTTTGGCATTACATTCAAAACCCAAAGGTTGTGCATGATTGATGATACTTAGCTGCACCATACACAGTTGTTTTCAGTGCTGTAGCTGAAATATTATTGAAATTCAAAATAAATAAAAATTAATATTGCATTATATCCAAGATCCAAAGGGTGTGCATCATTGCACACCCAATGGAAAAACCAATGGACTTTGGATGCAATGCAATGCAATGGATTTTGGATGCAATGCAATACCTACTTTATATTGATTTACATTTATTTTGAACTTCAATAATTCAACCATCTTACATACAACTCTAAAAATAACTGTGTATGGTGCAGCTAGGTTTCATCAATCATACAAAACTCTTGGATTTTGGATGTAATAACTAATTTATATTAATTTTTATTTATTGTGAATTTCAATAATATTTCAGCTACCTTACATACAGCACTGAAAACAACTGTGTATGGTGCAGCAAAGTGTCCGCAATGATGCACAACCTTTGGGTTTTGAATGTAATGCAATATCTCATTTATATTATTTTTTATATATTTTGAATTTCAATGATATTCCAGCCACATTACATACAACACTAAGTTGTGTATGGTGCAGTGAAGTGTCAGCAATCATACACACCTTTTGGATTCTGGATGCAATGTAATAGCTACTATATATTAATTTTTATTTATTTTGAGCTTGAATAATATTTCAGCCATCTTACATACAACCCTAAAAACAAATGTGCACAGTGCAGTTATGTATCAGCAGTCATACACAACGTTTGGATTTTGGATGAAATGCAATAACTTCTTTATATTAATTTTTATTTATTTTGAACTTATATCCATTTTTATATATTTTGTTGTTCAATAACATTTCAGCTGCAGTGTATGGAACACTAACATTGTTAGGAAATGTTGTAGCCAAGTTGCAGCAATGATGCACAACCTCTGGATTTTGAATGTAGTAATAACTACTTTATACTCAATAACTACTTCACCTTTTTTTCCATCTTGAATTTCAAAAGGATTTTAGCTGCATTACTTACAACACTAAAATCAGCTGCATTAGATCCAAAGGTAAAATCTAAAGTTTGTGCATCATCACTTACACTGTCTGCACCAAACACTGTTTATTTCACTGTTAAATGTAATGCAGCTAAAATGCTATTGAAATTCAAAAAGGAAAAAATAATCTAAAGTATTACATTTAAAATAGAGATGTTTGTCATAATTCCCAATTAGCTGCACCATTTGTAGTTGATTTTAGCATTGTATTTAATGTGGTTGAACCGCAATTGAAATAACAAAATGTAACTTAGGTATTTGATTACATCCATATTATTTTTTGAATGTAAAAGTTTAAATCAATAAAAATATTATATTATAGTGCGATTCATTCCAAAAGAACTGCAGATGTGCTACTATATCTCCAAGCTGTTTATTTGAAGACTGCCTCTAACTTGACAAACTGAGGGTTTGGTGTATTTATGAACTTGAATTCTACTTAAATTAAATAAGTCAACCTTAAAGACTGTGAATGTCATCATCAAGCTAACTGTATGTCAGTATACAGGTAACATCACTTTTTACAGGTATTACAGTAGAATAAGTATGGGCATGTACATTTTTAGCTACCGGTTAATTAAATGTCCTTTTTTGTGGTGTGCAATTGGTGTGCAATTCTCACCATAGATCAAAGTAAACAACACAATTAATCACATGTGTATAGACACAGTGGTTCTAGAGCTATTGACGTTTTTGTCCTTGATCTGGTGCGACGGAATCTATTGTTAAAGGGCACAATAAAATATGTTTTTAAAAGCACTGAAACGATTTGGAGGAAAACAAATGCGTGGGCACGGATGTAGGATTGGTCTAGAAACGCATGCATTTTATTCCGATTGGAAATCTCGTCTCACTTTTTCGGTATCAACACAACAAGAGGGGTACGTTAAATGTCACCCAAACCGCAAAAGAAAAGGTGTGCATCACTCTCTGTGGTCGTACTGTCAAGAAAATGTGAGTCTTTACTAGCCTCCATAGTCCGTTCAAATGTTATTAGCGCCGAAAAGACGAATATCGAAAACAAAACTAACTTTACCGTGGTAGTTCCTAATATGGGCATAACGAGTGTATAGAATGACGCACGACTACAGTGGTCTGTTAGCGCAATCACAGGTATTAAAGAAACAAAAGCTTCCTAGAGCAGTCCGTGCAACCTAGACTAATCTACGTGTGAGGATAACAAAACAAATTTTGCGAAAATCGGTTAAATAATAAGGAAGGTATGGCCGATGTAATCCTGAGAACTCATCTCTTAATACAAGTGAAATTTGTTCACAAGCGGATCTTGACCGCTCCAACATGGCGGACGCGCAGACGTATCGCCTCAGACAGAGAACAACAGACAACGCGGCACGGTAGGAACCAGAGAAGGCACCAGAGGCACCCTACAAGTTGCATTTTACGTCATCAGTAGGCGCCACCCACATGCCCTTCTTGCTGTCGTCCTGCGCAGCTCGAAACAACGCTTTTCCAAGCGGGAGACTGAGCAGAAGGAGAAATTCACGAAAGAGAAATGGCTCGTTGTCTAACGTTACTAAAGTTTTCTGTTGTGAGTTCCTGTAAGGCAAACACGAGGCTTTTCTCCTACAGCCAGAGGGCTGGAAACCGGATCGTGAGAGCCGCATTCATCGAAGGTAATAATTAATTTGTATGACTGCTAACGGCATGGGACGTTGCACGGGTTACTGTTGACCCAGAATCTTTAAGGTGCTGAACAATATGGGATTTAGCACGCGTGACCTTAAATGTGAGATATGTTATATGTAAATGCTAATACTACTAAATACTAAATGTCTTAAGTTGCAAAAATGTTCATTTTTGAAAAATACAACGCGGCCTCTTAGCCATGGTCCAAGCGGCAGCCAAAGCAGTTAAACAGTGTTGAAAACTGTGTTTGTGAAAGTTTTCACAAATCAGATAATTGCTAAAACAAGTAAAATATCATTGCTATTGCGTTTCTCAGTCAAGCCCTCCAAACATTCAGCTTTTTGATGCCTAAACTGATAATAATAAAGGGTTGAGAGACATTTGTGAAATATTTCACAAATCAGAAAAGTTCATTTGTGTGTGCCGTTATCTTTATGCTTGATCAGTTATTATAGTTACAAGTATTAATGTTCTATATTTGCCCCCAAAAGCTGAACTACTGTATTGTTACACAGGAAAATGGGAGTAGAACTGCGTGAATCACTCAAATATACCAAACTGTGTTCGTGAAAGTTTTCATAAATCAGATAATGGCTAAAATAAGGGAAATTTCATTGCTACTGTTAGTGTACATGACATTTCAGAGTCAAGCTCTCCAAATATTCAGCCTTTTGTTGCCTAAACTGATTAATAAATGACTTCATTTATTCATTAAGTTCATTTGTGTGTGATGTTATCTCTGTACTTGATCAGTTATTTAAATTATATGCATTAATGTTCTATATTTGAAATGCTGAACTTAAAGGGCTGAACTATACTGTATTATTACACATGAAAATGGGAGTAGAACTGCATGAATCACTCAAATATACTGTGTTTGTGAAATTTTTCACAAATCAGGTGATAATCAACATTGCATGATTATTGGTAGTGTATATATATTAAATTGTGTTCCAAGTTAAAACTACATTTTTCAGTTTTTTGTGCTGACAAATAAATAATTTTAGCCTGTTTTCATCTCATTACATGTATATATTCAGTGTTTGGGCAAATGATACAAATATCCAATTCTGTATGCATGGTAATGGAAAAAGATTTGTATAAAACAATAAAATATCCCAAAATCTTTTTGTGAATATTTTCACAAATCAAGTTATATGTATGGGTGCAGTTGCAAGGTTACTGATAATATTTGTATGTGGAATTAAACTTCATAGTCAGATCTTATTCTTAAGGAGAAAGAGCTGTATGGTGCAATCAAACATAGACCAATGATGTTTTTGATCCTGTATCAACTGTAGAGAGGACTGAATTTGTTCGTCAATCTGAAATGCAGCCCTTAATCAGAGTACTAGTGCTAAATTAAGTAACTCAAAGGAAATGTTTGGGTCATGCAGTGCAGAGATAGCCACACCCCCAGTAAGCAGAAACAGTGCTAAGGAATTCTGGGAAGATGTGGGAATAATGCTATGTGGGCTCTAGAATTAATTTTTTGGATATTTTGTAAGTCTTTGAATCTATTTTGCAAAGTGTTGTGATTTTTGTTCTTAATATTTATTCAGAGAGCTGGAAAACTGGTCAAGACTATTTGCAATTTAAGGCGCAATATGTGCATGTTCTTGTTCTGTTTCTGTAAGTTTCAGCCTCAGGCCTTCTGCCCTTACATTGTCTGATGTAAACTACACACTAAAATGACCACAGCTCAGTCTCACTGGGCATGGAGAATTCAAACTGGCTCTGGCTGTCCACAGTTCCATGCATATCAGTCCGATTGAAAGCATGTTTTCATGTCATGTCTTGATTTTTGCACCAAATTATGTAGAGTAGAATCAATAAGAGTATCGATAAGTATTGATATTGATATTAGTATCAGTAAAATCCTAATGATGCCCATCTCTACTCACCTCCGTGAAGCTGGCCCCCCATGTGGTCAGAAATGGAAAAAAAAAAACGCATATTCATTTGTGCTGGTTTGTGCCATACGAATCATGTTTTGTGCTGGCAGCGTTTTCGAGAAATTAAGAATTATATTTTATTACATTTTTAGTTTTAGTATTATATGTATTGTCTATATAGTAACAAGTAACAAACTGTAAACCTTAGTAACATACCCAGCCATCACCATGTCTTGAGATGTCTTAAGACATGTCTAAAGACACATTATGAAGATGTCTTAGGACATCTTGAGGCATGTCTTAAGACATGAAGACATGTCTTTAAGACGTGTCTATAGACACGAATCTTAAGATGTCTTGGCAATAATAACATCTCAAGACGTCTCAAGATGTAGGATGCATAATACATATTTTTAAATTTTACCTACATTTTTTTAAATAAATCTTTTACTTTTAAATATTTTAAGGGTATTTTAAAATGTAACATTATTTATAGCTAAAATTATAGTAATTATTTTTTTTTCATTATTTAATTTTTTTGTTCTATGTAGGATGCATAATGGTATCATTTATTTTAATATATTGCATATCATTTTATAAACATATAAACATTACATACATTAGTACATAATACATTTATACTTTCAGAACAAATTTAACAACAAAAGTATATAAATAATAATAATAATATTTATAGGCACATGGTTCCCAGTCTGTAACTTTCTCTGCAATAAGCCATTTTATATGAAACCACTAAATGACTTTGTTTACATCGCAAGTACAGAATCAAGTGTACAAAAACGTGGAATTCCCCTTTAAATGTTTCTGTTGCATTAGAAAAGCTTATGGAATCAGTGATATTTACAGTTTTGTGAGTTTCCATGCCTTCACATGTGTAGTATGAGGGAAGACTCTTATGCAACTATTTTGTATACAGCGTTGCTGCAAAATTTAATTTACTCTGCAATCCAAAGCATAGCCCATGAAAAAGCACCCACATAGCTTTCAAAAAATATAATTACAGTTATTGTTTATTGTTTTTACAACTGTGTATATGCACAGTACAATAGCGTCATCACACTTGATATGTTCTACAGACAGAGAAAAACATGTTAACTGACTTTGTGTAGAAATTTGAAATATACTGCAATAAATACACAGTTCCGACCAATGAATCTGATTTTAAGGTCTGCTGTTATTCCGTATATAAGTTATGCTGAGGTTATTAACAATATAGTACTATGAACAATTATAAATGATAGGAAACAATTTTAAGACAAATTAATATGGACTAAAAAGAAAAACTGACCAACAGAGTAATACAGAGGTCTGAACCCCAGCAGCACTCCTAACATACCTGAGCCAGATAATGATCAGCTGTCAAACAATTAATACCAGACTCAGATGTGCTGGTAGCTGGAATAGAGTCAAGCTGTGGACATATGTGGACACAGGAAACAGGACACAGATAACTCAGTGTGCATATGTCCATGCCGTAATGCCTGAACACTAACATTACTGATATCACACTGCTAATGTTACCGATCTCTCCTTTTAGAGTTAAATCCGTGATGAGTGAGAGAACTGTCAGATTCACAGCCCATCGCTTCTTCCTCTGTTTTTTCTCAGTGTTGGTCTTCTTTGTCAGAGATATGAGGAAAATGCATCTGTTAAAAAATCAATTTTAAGACAATAAATTTGAAATTACTTTTGGATCTGCATACACAAGCAGGCTGAATTTAAAGGGGACCTGTTATGCTAATTTCCAATGTTCATAAATTTATTTTTGGGGTCGACTATAATACATTTACATGCTTCAGTGTTCCAGAAACACATTATTTTTCTCATACTGTAATTGTTTACTCACCCTCTGTCTGAAACGCTCTGTTAGAGCTCCAGTGTCTTTAAGCCCCTCCTTCCTGATGAGCCCAGTATGCTCAGATTAGTTAGCTCGCTCACTTGCTCTGACTGATCAAGCGCCAGAGCGGTTCCGCCAATACACGGGCTCCGATAGATGCGTTGCGTTGTGTGAGGGCGTACCAAGCTCGCTGGTAGGTGGGCAATAAGGATTGTGTTATGGGATTACATCATCTTGTAACAAAGGAAAAGGGCTGGGGAACTCCAGCCCTCAGGCAGCTGAGAAAAGTGGTTTCTGTGGGAAAGAGTTTCTCCCTCTGGCATATACTTTCAGCTTTGTATCTTACACGCACAAAAAGCTACATAACACAGTAAATAAAAGGGAAAGCATTATATATTCCCTTTATAAGTAGAATATAATGTACAGTATACATACTTTTACTCATCTAAAATCAACTCAGGCATTTAGTACACAAAGAAATGTGACAAGGCTTTAAATAATACCTATGCATGAACTCCAGCGTGGCACCCAGCTCACACGCATAGCTGATGTTCAGACAATGATGTTCAGTGTAATGAAAGAAGCATCAGGATGAGGCCACTTGTGTAAGAGCACAGTTGAGTGTTGAGAATGATATGGACTGCCACCATACTGGATGAGGCCCAAAGAGAGGATGTTCCTTGGGAAGGATTGAAAACAACAAAGTTGATTAGATAATTCACAATTCTATTGTTTTCATCCTCTAACATGCCAAAGTCAACACGTGACAGAAATGATCATTTGCTGTTGAGGCAGGTGTGAGCTTAGTACTGATATCTGTATCTGTTAAAAGCTGTGTTAAAGGAGAATTACATGATTTTTAAGCACAATTTCATCATTAAGATGCAAAAAAATAGTTTGATACAAAATGTTCCACTGTGGAAAAACTTACAGAGTCAGAGTTGTTCATAGTGGCAGTGACAAGAACCAGACGTTTGAAGAGTTCAATGCCTCTAATCTCTCTCACAGAGAACTATTACATGAAATGATTATTAATAAGAGCTGAACTCTATTAGATCATGTTTACCACATGCTTTATGCTATAAATTGTAGCGCTCTGAGACTTGCAGTATTACACATTAAAGCACTGTGAAGAAGTAAATTCATAAATATTGATACAGTGTTGGTGATATTGCCATATCGATATTTTGAACACAGCTGTAATGGCAAATAACATATTAATAAATTGAATGAA